CTAATCACACTGTGTGCACTGGTCTTCTGCAGAAAAAGGAAAATACAAAATGGTAAGAGAAAATATTTTTGGCCAGTTAGGAAATGTATTTGCTCATTTGAAATATGAATTGATCAATCCACAATCTGTTCACTGTCCATGTTTGTATTTGCAGATAAAGGAGCAAAGGATGAGGTGAGGTTTACATATTTACACTGGATCTGATTAAGATGTCAAGGGCTGAGAATGAAAATGTACTCATAATTGTGTCACGTTGTGTATTATTACAGTCAAAACCTCTTATATTTGTGAATCAAATCACATGAACCCTTTTACACTAAACATGAAAACCAGTGTTGAGTAGAAGTAAAGGCTTTGAGCACTTCACATTTCACTTTTTATTCTCATGTGTCTCTTGTATTTTTAGGTTGTAATGTACGAGAACTGTCCAGCTCCCCCTTCAGAGCCTGCAGACTGCACTTACCAGAATCTCAGTGCAGACACACGAGACCACATCCACATCTACAGCTCCCTCAACCCACAGCCCCCACCCAGCAGCAACACCGCCCCCTGCTGATCAAAGCCTCTGACTACACCCAATCATGTCAAAAGTGATGCTGAATATGTCATGAATATTTTTTACATGTGAATTGTCCCTTTTACAAATGCCCCAAGGTGATCATTAAAAAAAAACCCTGGTTCTCCAATACAACAAGAGCTCGCTCAAATATTTTTTGATACCCAAATGTGTTTAGGTCCTTACTTTTGCACAACAATGCTAAATATATTGAAGATAATGCTGAATGACTTCCAGGAGTGAGATTTCCAATAACCCCATAAAAAGAGCAAAGCTTATGTTTTTTCTGCAACGTGCCTAATGGATTGCAAAGTTCAAAGGTGTCAATGTATAAGCACAAAGACATTTTTAGTTCTTCCCCCATAAGAAATTCATTGTTCAGAAAATGTAGAACATCTCGAAAAGGCCTATATTGTTTATAATTTACTGACTGATGTTCCTGGTGACTATCAACAATGTTTTGCTGAATATGTTTTAGGTGAAGTAACTGCTGTAATGACTTCAAGATGGGAACATACTGGAAAGAACGCTGGGTTTGAGGGTCAAGTATGTATTCAACTGGTTCAACCACTTTAAAATGTTTTTTGTAATACCGTTTGCGCTTGTAAGAAGTAGCAAGTGGGCCTTCTTTTGCTATAGCTTTTAACAAAGGATTAGACAATATTGTGCTAGTCAGTTCTTCAAAGACATGGTGGTCTGCACAGATGTTATGTTTTCCAAGAGTATTTGTGATAAGCTTCTTTGATATAGGCACAGATGCAGACTTTATCAAATAATGAAGTTCAGAAAGCAATTCATCGATTGCAACACTTGGAACATGGTGTTAGTTTTCAAGTTTCAGTAAAAGAGATGCTAAGTTCAACTCTGTAACATCTGACAAGCCTTTATCCTCTAAGGCTACGTTCAGACTGCAGGGCTTAATGCTCAGTTATGATTTTTTTGTGATATCCAATGTTTTAGTGAGGTGGTTCACATTTCCATTTAAATGCGACTTGTATGCGATCTCCAGTGTGAACTTTAAATGGCCCAAAAGTGTCCCGCATGCACACTGGAGACACGACGATGTCAACCGCAGCGAGCGTGCTCTGTGTTTACGGAAGTTGTCCAAACATGGACCCGAGCATTGAGCACCTGGAGATTTTAAAGTTCCTCTCGTACCGGAGCCAGAACATGGACAACTTACTTGTTTTAAGGAGGAGATTGAGAAGGAGAAGGACGAGGTTTTTTGACCGTGGCGTTTTGTGGGACAGTGGCAGCGATGTCCGTTGAAAGGAACGTGTGGATGTGGAGATGTAGCCAAGAGTGGTGAGTGGTGATGTGCTTCGCTTCAGTGACATGGAGTTCATTAACAATTTTCTTGTACTTCAGCACAGAATAGTGATGTTTGTGGGTTGTTGATAACGTGTAGGTCGGATGAATGCCCTTTGGTCGTTCAGAATGAAGTCACATGTCAAAAGATCGGATATGTATCTGTTTCAGGACCACATATCCAAGTGGCCTGTGTCGCATTTGAAAAAATCGGATTTGTGTCGTTCAGACTGTCATTAAAAGATCAGATACAGGAGCATAGGGGCCAAAAAATCGGATTTGGGTCACTTCAGGCTGCAGTCTGAACGTAGCCTATGTCACTGACTTCATCATCATCACAATCTGCATTGCTGTTATCTGCATGAATCTCTTCTGTAGCAACACAACAAGCTGAAGTTTGGCTTTCAATGGTGTTCACAATCCCCAATTTAAAGTCTAAGAGCAACCCCTAAACATACAATGCACTGTCTCACTGCTCTTTAGATGATTGTTCTGCCAAGGACCCATTTTGGATCCGCTTCCAGAGCCGGGTTATCTGCCCCGGATCTGCTGTGGATCTGCTGTGTATATGTTTATTATTGTCGTTAGGAGCCTAAATATAAACATATAACCAGGTGTTTAGACTGTTCCAACTGTGGTGCATCCATGAGTGCCTCCACCTGTGCGTTGCTGCACGTGGCTCCCGCGTCACTGATTGCCGATTAGAAAAGGCTGCGCACGTCATAGTGTGGCAGTCGGGGGGCTTTCGGTGGCTTGCGAACGCGGCGCATGTGTTGTCTGGAGCAGGCAGAGACAGCGACCGCTCCTATTGCGCTCCCGGCCCCCCTGTAGAGTACGCCTATTCTAGAAACCAGGTAGAGGGTCTGGGTGGTGCATGTTTGGGGGTGGTGGCATTTTGTTTGATGGCGTGTGGTAATCGGTATATCTCTGTGTGGCAGATTATGCTGCTGCTGTTGGTTTCTGCTATCAAATTCTCTTGAAATTGTCTCTTAAATTATCTCGTAAAGTCTGATTCCGTAGTTCCTTTTATCTGTAGTTAGTGTAGTTGCTGTAGTGTATTTATCGGCTAGGGTGGTTTGTGCAATAGCGGATAGTGCAATCTAACAGCACCTTGCACTTTAAAACATCTAAAGTCTCAACATTAAAACCACGCACCTAGCACTTTACATCTAAAAGAAAAATACTGTAGCACCTTTTTATGTATAAACAGATATTTGCACTGCACTAGCACTTTGGTTCCTGAAACCTGGGATTCAACCATTTGCCTTGGTTTGATTAATCTTTCTTTTTTTTGCATTACTAATATCGTTTTTTGTGTGATTTGGTTTAGTTGTGTCCCAGATTTTAGCTCCCAAATTGTTTTGAATGTGTGCTCTTTTAAAAATGTGTAAAATGAGCTCTTTTAATATTAACTAAAATAAAGAATTGTGTATTTTTCCACTATTTTATGCCTTTGCCCTATCTTTCAGCCAGACTTACCTGTGTTATAATTAAATAAATAAAAGTGGGGAACCCCTTTGAAGCCCCTCCCCTCTGCTACACATATATATACAGCAAAAGATGTTCATTTTGTCTTCTTATATACTTTAACTTCTTGGGTTCTTTTTAAAGACAATGCAGTAAAGTGTATTTACCTTAATGACATGTTTCGGCTGGTGCTGCAAGCCATCTTCAGAACTGTCTCCGGTGTTGGTGGTGACGTGTCGTATATCAGCTGTTGTTACTTCCTGTAGGCGTGGTCAGCCTGATGGACCTGGCAGGTCGCTCAGACTGACCACGCCTCCCGTCGCCCGGTGTTCTCTGGAGGAGGGTGTCCCAGGTGTGTGAAAGGAGGAACGCGCCGTCATCACGGTTAATGCTCTCTGTGCCTCGTTTTCTGATTTCAATGGCCTCCTTGATCCTGCGTTTGAACTTGTTGTTTTCTGATCCAATGACCCGAGCCCCGTCCCAATCCATAATGCGGTTGTTCCTTTTACAGTGCTCTGATATGGCGGATTTTAGGTTTCCTGTTCTGCTTTGTCTTTTTGTGTTCTGGTGAGTCTCCCTGACGTTTCCTTCTCGCATTCCTTTTGGTGTTCCTTTTTTCGGATGTGAAATGCCCAGCCTGTTTCCCCTATGTATGATGTATTGTGTGATTTGCATTGAATTTCGTAGATGGCATTGCATTTTTGTTCTTGTGGGATTTTGTCCTTGGGATGTACGAGTAGTTGGCGGAGTTTTGTGTATGGTTTTACTACAGTGCTTATGTTGTGTTTTTTCATGGCTCTCTGGATGGGTTCGGTTATGCCTCTGATGTATGGTAGTGTGACTATGTTCTTATGGTCCTGCTGCCCTATGTTGGATTGTTGTGTTTTTTTCTGGGGTTTGTTGGTTTTATTGATAACTAGTTGTCTGCCTTTGTTTATGGCCCAGCTGGGATATTGACATTGTTTGAGGCGTGGTCAGTCTGAGCGACCTGAAGATGGCTTGCAGCTAGCAGCCGAAACATGTCAACAAGGTAAATACACTTTACTGCATTGTCTTTAAAAAGAACCCAAGAAGTTAACATATATATACATATTATACATATATATATACCTTGAAGACGCTTATAAAAGGAACTTGTAATGGCATGGTTTTAATTGTATTGTACATGTGTGTTGATTTTTATTGTTAATAGGCTCCTGCTGGTGGCCTATTCTAGCCTATTCTACATGCTGAGAACCTATTTCAGTGTTTGTGTGGACACTGCTGGGTTTGATGAGGCCTGCAGCACCTGCCTGAGATGTCACCAATCTGCACACCTGTAAAGAACTGTTCTAAAGTCCAAATATGAAAGTGAATTGAGCTGAAATGGGGTACAAAACGCTTAAACTAAAAAAAAAAAAAACAACCTTAGATTTTTTTTTATGAATAAACAAGGTGTAAATCCAAATGTAAGTGTCTGTCAAGTCAATTTAAACGAACCTGTGCTGCCTGTTAATTACAGAGTGGTTTTCTGTGTCCCGTAAATTGAGGACAGTGTTGCTCAACAAATTTAAATATGTAATCTGTATCACATGTGCCCTCATTTGCTCACAATCTCAGTTTCTATAAGTGATTTTAAAGAAGTAAGATGATGCAAGAAACACAGTGGTTTCACAATAACAGGGTCCATCTTTGAAACAGTTTTCCTGTTTAGAGAATGTGTTAGAGCAGACAGCAGCATTATAAAAGTCTCTGCAAATAAAAGAAAACAACTATGAGGCTCTGTGTGGCTGTTCTTCTGTTTCTCGGTGAGTTACACTGACCTTTACTGACTATACTGACCTATACCTTTGTTTTTTTTTTTTTTTATCTTTGCAAAACTATTCAGTAAAATTATCAGATTTTCCTTTGGATTAGCAGCTTTTTGTGTTACAAATGTTAAGATATTTTATTCTTAATTATAAATAAAAATATAATAAATAAAGTAAAGGTTGTGATTTTTATCTTAGAATCATGACTATAAACCTTTATTTTCTGAACAGGCCTGTATGGACTGCCTGGTTTCATCAGAGCAGAGACAGTTCATAAGGCGACTGAAGGAGGAAACATCACAGTTGAATGTCAATTTTATCGAGCCACGCACACAAAGCTCTTCTGTAAAAATAACTGTGACAAAGAAAATATTTTGGTTAAGACTTCAGGATATGAACAATGTGAAGGAAGATACTGCATTCAATATAAGTACAATGGTTTCTTGAGAGATATGTACGTGAGCATCACCAATGTGACCAGTGCCGACTCTGGACATTACCAGTGTGTTCTGAGAAGAAACTTCTCTCTTCATGGAAGCCATACATTTAGGATTGACGTCACAAAAAGTATGTGTTTTTTAATTATATATATATTCTAAATATTTTCAAAGCAACAAAAGATTTTTTAATATCTATCATTTTCTTGCTAACATTATCATTTATTTTAATTGCAGCTTTAAATACAACTTATACTTTTAAACCAGAATCTCAAGTCACTGTGAAACCCACCACTGATATGGACCTGACTGTACAAACAGGTGACCAGACTTCACTCATGTCTGTGACTACAACACAACAGTCCACAACATCTTCTGATCATGATCTGCAGACAAATACATCAGGTACTGTGGAGATGTGCAGGTGGAGGTTGTACACTTGTGTTATTAATCCTTCTCTATTTGTATTGTCCCAGTTTTTCCAACTGATCTTTTGTGATCTGACATCACATCACATGAGTCTAGAGGTGGGACACAATAAAGAGATAAAATGAGATTTTGACATAATTTGTAATAAATTGTGAGATTCAGTTCACAGTTTATTTGTTCATTTATTTTTGTATTTAAAAGTTAATGTCTTTTGGAACTACAGTTTCTCAAAAGGTGAAACTCAAAGACGACCTGTTGTTCAAGCCAAATGTAAACTCATGTGTGCACAATCTTGTGGCAGTTTTGTCTTGTGAAATCTTGTGGCATGAGTCTGGTCACATTACAACATGTGTCTTCTCTTGTCAAGAGAAAGTTTTGTTTCGTTGTAATCATCAAAATAAGATTTTAATCTACCTGGGTTTTGTAGTTGCACTGTATTGTGTGCTTCCTTTGTAATTTAGTGTTTGTAACAAAAAACAATAATAATAATAATAATAATAATAATAATAATAATAACTGAATTATCAAGTTTTCATGGCTAATTCAACATGTGTAACAGTTTGAGTGAAATCAGCCAAAGTATGTGCAATTTATCACTCGTCGAAGTTTGAGTTTTGCAAAAACAAACCAAAAATGTGCCCCATTGCCATGGCAACACCATTTGATCTTTTAAAAAGCTTTTAAAAACTTTTAATGTCCCATTTGTCTCGATGATCCAGAATGATTAGGTCACTACTTTTCTGTCCAGAGTCCTGGTTTCTGCTGCTGTTGACTCTGATCCCTGTGGTCCTAATCACACTGTGTGCGCTGGTCTTCTACAGAAAAAGGAAAGTACAAAATGGTAAGAGAAAATATTGAGGAAATGCAGTGGCGTGCACAGATAGACACCAGGTGCCCCTTTACCCTCTGTACAAAAATTGCCCTTTTGAAAGTTTTTTTTTTCTCACAGTTTACTGTGGTCCATGTTGACATGATCATCTAGAAATGCTGGATGATTAATAGTGTGTGCCCTGAGAGGTGCCCCCTCCGCACACAGCTCAGTCTTTGTCAACGTGTATGCACAGAGCGCGCAAAAACTGAGGGTCGTTGCAGCTGCACAGCAGTGTAGATCAGGTATCCAAGCTCTTTGAGTGTGGTACCGCATATACCTCCTCCCCTGCCCCACCAGCAGGTAACACAAGAATCGCATTTGGTACTGGTCTTGTCTCCGTCTTGAAGGCACTTAGACACGCCCCCAGCACGCAGCTTGTCAGCAACTGCATGTGCCCTTGTGTACCCGTGTGCATCACAGGACAGGTTAAACTTAAAAAAAAATCCTACCTGTCCGTCTGCCTCACGTCAGCGCGCTGCTCCTCGTCTTTTTTGTTGCTCCTCCCTGCGTACAGCACACACAGGATCCCTCCTCAATACCCTGATTAAAAGAACAAGACGAAACACCAAGAAAAAATTCATCTAAATTTATGCCTAACCAGTATATATTTGTCTCTGTTGTTAAATAGTCTGTCTCATACAGCAGCAAACAGCTGAGGATAAATCAGCCGACTGCTCACCTGCTCAGCGACTGTAGCAACTCCCCCAGATCAATAATAGATGATGTGATGACCACCACACAACTAATGTCGCTAGAGTTTGTGAATCTATCAGTATACTTAAGCTGAACATTTACTATTGTGTAGGTTTACATTAGGCTACATAATTAACACATTTACTTCCTACATAACAAACAGGCAGTGTCCATTTCCCAGCAGAGAAATACTCTTCTTTCTTGTTGTAATGTCACCAGCAGTCTTATTCATACTTTTGGTAATAAATCAGGCATTAAGCTATAATAGCTATTATTTTGTACCAACCATAGTTATTTCTATGCTACAAGACTTGCAGTAATCTTGTATTATTACCTTAATCTGTAATAAGGCTGCTGGAAGTTCCATATACACACAAAGTGCCCTTATTTTTCACTGAGCCCCTGTCCCCCAAAATGTCTGTGCACACCATTGAAGAAATGTATTTGCTCATTTGAAATATGAATTGATCAATCCACAATCTGTTCACTGTCCATGTTTGTATTTGCAGATAAAGGAGCAAAGGATGAGGTGAGGTTTACATATTTACACTGGATCTGATTAAGATGTCAAGGGCTGAGAATGAAAATGAACTGATAATTGTGTCACGTTGTGTATTATTACAGTCAAAACCTCTTATATTTGTGAATAAAATCACATGAACCATTTTACACTAAACATGAAAACCAGTGTTGAGTAGACGTAAAGGCTTTGAGCACTTCACATATCACTTTTTATTCTCATGTGTCTCTTGTATTTTTAGGTTGTAATGTACGAGAACTGTCCAGCTCCCCCTTCAGAGCCTGAAGACTCCACTTAACAGAGTCTCAGTGCAGACACACGAGACCACACCCACATCTACAGCTCCCTCAACCCACAGCCCCCACCCAGCAGCAACACCGCCCCCTGATGATCAAAGCCTCTGACTACACCCAATCATGTCAAAAGTGATGCTGAATATGTCATGAATATTTTTACATGTACATATATTTACATTTTACATAATCGACTTACACAATTACAAAATACAATTCCAGGTATGTTTTGTCGAGGAGACAACAGAATACAATTTTTTTTAATCTTTTAAAATGTTGTTGTATTTTTATAATGTTTGTCATTTCATTGTAAATCTGTACATTTTTCAAGACCTACTGAAACATTAGCATTTCATTAAACATTATTTGATTCTGACTCTGAATGAGAAAGTCCTGAAAAAGTCCCAATCCCGAAGACCCAATCGCCCGTTTACCCAAGCACCCACCCATAACCCACTCACCCTGGTCCTACATAGATGAATTATTATATATGGAATACACTAGGGCTGCAAATGAGTCATAATTAAAACAGAATTACAGTTTTGGCCAAGACTCCAACTGTACAGAGAAATAACTGAGTGCAAAAGATTGAAGAAAAAAGTCTCCATGAAGATGTTATTGTTTTGTCTGAAATGTTTCACAGTATGGCATTAAACCTTATCATCGTCATGGAAACCAAACCAGACCAAGTTACAGTCACAGTCAGAATGTCTGTTTTTCTAGACATTTTGAGCTTTAAAACCACCTGTAATTGACTAAATGTAACAGATGTTTAATGTCATACTGTGGAACATTTCCAGACAGAGAAACGACATGTCCATAGAAAGTAGAGACAGACCCCCAACCAAAAAGTGACATAGTGCACCTTTAAGAATCAAAGTGTTAGTTTCAATAAATAATAAAATTTTCATGCTGAGACTAAATTTTGTGCTCTAAATGTGTTATTTGTTAGCAATTAACACCCACTAGGGAAAAAAATACCTCCTTTTTAAGGAAGTGGGATAGAAAGATAACATTGGATTTACATATCAAAATGACCAGTAGTTCCTGTTTAGAGAATGTGTTAGAGCAGACCGCAGCATTATAAAAAAAGTCTCTGCAAATAAAAGAAAACAACTATGAGGCTCTGTGTGGCTGTTCTCCTGTTTCTCGGTGAGTTACACTGACTATACTACTGACCTATACCTTTGAACTTTTATCTTTGCAAAACTGTATTCAGAAAAATGATCAAATTTACCTTTAGATTAGCAGCTTTTTACTGTAACTTTGTGAAACGGGGGAGGTGCACACAGGCTGTCTTTGTTTTTCTGTTTATTGTTGCAGATGTGATTGTACTAACATTTTATAACAGTTAGACGCTCCATACAATTCCTGTCTAAATCTATTAAAACAAACTATAAATATTTTTACATGTATTTTTATGTCATCAATCCTATATAATTTAGACTAAATAAATAAAGTAAATGTGACATATGTTTGTGTTATTTGAATCACATTAAAAAATGCCTATATTTTCTGAGCAGTGCTGTACGAACTGTCTGGGTTCATCAGAGCACAGAGAGTTTATAAGGTGGCTGAAAGGTTTATTGCATAGTGATATCATGTACGTGAGCATCACGAGTGTGACCAGAGTTGACTCCAGACAATACCAGTGTGTTCTGACAAGATACTACATAATAAAATATGGAATCCAGACATTTAGGATTGACCTCACAAAAAGTGTGACATTGTCAGTTATTTAAGATGCAGCTTTAAATCCAACTTATACTCTTAAACCAGAACCTAATGTCACTGTGAAACCCACCACTGATATGGACCTGACTGTACAAACAGGTGACGTCTCAACACTGAAGACACATACATGTATTTCTACCAATATTTATAAAGTTAATGTGCTGTTCTGTTGTTTACTGTCGTCACTACTTTTCTGTCCAGAGGGTAGTTTTTATTGTTTAACCAATTCCTGCTATTTAGTCGTGACGTATGCGCTGCTAATGGGGCTCGTTGACAAAACAGAATATATGGCTTTTTGCTGAGAAATGAAATTGAGCGGAGGCACTAGGTGGTGCCAGCCTGGCTAAGTCTTGATGCCTTCAGTGAGAGTATATACAGTCGTCCCTCGCTATATCGCAGTTCACCTTTCACGGTCTCACTGTTTCGTGGATTTTTTGTGTGCAAATTTGCATGCTTTTTTTTTTTTTTTTTTTTTTTACAGTGTATGAATGTGTATTGCGTTCCTCCCACTGTGTCCTGATTGGCTAAGGGACTCCTGTTTCCTGTACAGTACAGAATGCATTCAGCCAAATGTAAATAAATGTTTCATCGCTAGCAGTATGATTCTGAAGTGCTGTATGTTTTGCAAGTTTTCTCCCCCAACAAAACTCACAATGTCGACGAAACTTTCTGCACCGACAAAGGCTCCTGCAGACGCACCCAAAATGCAGAGGAAGATGCAAACCTTTGCACAAAAAGTTGGACTTCTGGACACGCTGAAGGAAGGTAGAAGTTACGCAGCTGTAGCAGAGTTTTGCACCAAGTCAGGTACCGCAAATAGTTGCTGAAATCAGGATTTAAAGCGCAATCCGGCTACGGCCACACTTACCTTTGGGAGGTGCGCAGCTGAGCCGGTCCTTTCTCCTGCAGTCACCTTCGATCCCGTTCCGACAATGAGTCCTGTTTTAGTCCTAGTTCAGTCCTGGTTTAGTCCTCCTCTTCAGTCCTGGAATCAGTCCTAGGTTAGCCCTAGGTTAGTCCTGGTTTAGTCTCGGTTCAGGCAAGTACGGGTGGGTGTGGGTGCTGTACTGCACGGGTGTGAGTCTCCAAAAACCCGTGCATCGGAAAATAACATAAGGACGACAGCAGCAATAAGTTTTAAGTCTAAGAAAATTGTATAAAGTGTGTGGTGAGAGGTTTTACAGCCTTAAAACAGATTAGTAAAAATTGTAAAATATAAAGTTGACTACTTCGCGGATTTCACCTGTCACAGGTTATTTTTAGAACGTAACCCCTGCGATAAACGAGGGACCACTGTAGTGTAAATAACCATGGAAATGAAGACAAACCATAAGTTAAAATGTGTCCTTTGACTGTTAGTGTAGCTGAAACAAAAGTCACTAGCGTCAACATCTTTCTAATAATAATAATCAGAAACAGAAACATAATAATCACCATAATCATAATCATAATTAAGGCAGTTCAAGGCAGACAAAACTNTCCATTTACCAGCAGAGAAATACTCTTCTTTCTTGTTGTAATGTCACCAGCAGTCTTATTCATACTTTTGGTAATAAATCAGGCATTAAGCTATAATAGCTATTATTTTGTACCAACCATAGTTATTTCTATGCTACAAGACTTGCAGTAATCTTGTATTATTACCTTAATCTGTAATAAGGCTGCTGGAAGTTCCATATACACACAAAGTGCCCTTATTTTTCACTGAGCCCCTGTCCCCTAAAATGTCTGTGCACACCACTGAAGAAATGTATTTGCTCATTTGAAATATGAATTGATCAATCCACAATCTGTTCACTGTCCATGTTTGTATTTGCAGATAAAGGAGCAAAGGATGAGGTGAGGTTTACATATTTACACTGGATCTGATTAAGATGTCAAAGGGCTGAGAATGAAAATGAACTGATAATTGTGTCACGTTGTGTATTATTACAGTCAAAACCTCTTATATTTGTGAATAAAATCACATGAACCATTTTACACTAAACATGAAAACCAGTGTTGAGTAGACGTAAAGGCTTTGAGCACTTCACATATCACTTTTTATTCTCATGTGTCTCTTGTATTTTTTAGGTTGTAATGTACGAGAACTGTCCAGCTCCCCCTTCAGAGCCTGAAGAAGACTCCACTTAACAGAGTCTCAGTGCAGACACACGAGACCACACCCACATCTACAGCTCCCTCAACCCACAGCCCCCACCCAGCAGCAACACCGCCCCCTGATGATCAAAGCCTCTGACTACACCCAATCATGTCAAAAGTGATGCTGAATATGTCATGAATATTTTTACATGTACATATATTTACATTTTACATAATCGACTTACACAATTACAAAATACAATTCCAGGTATGTTTTTGTCGAGGAGACAACAGAATACAATTTTTTTTTAATCTTTTAAAATGTTGTTGTATTTTATAATGTTTGTCATTTCATTGTAAATCTGTACATTTTTCAAGACCTACTGAAACATTAGCATTTCATTAAACATTATTTGATTCTGACTCTGAATGAGAAAGTCCTGAAAAAGTCCCAATCCCGAAGACCCAATCGCCCGTTTAGCCAAGCACCCACCCATAACCCACTCACCCTGGTCCTACATAGATGAATTATTATATACGGAATACACTAGGGCTGCAAATGAGTCATAATTAAAACAGAATTACAGTTTGGGTTGCTTCATCATCAACTTGGTCAAGACTCCAACTGTACAGCGAAATAACTGAGTGCAAAAGATTGAAGAAAAAAGTCTCCATGAAGATGTTATTGTTTTGTCTTAAATGTTTCACAGTATGGCATTAAACCTTAACCAAACCAGACCAAGTTACAGTCACAGTCAGAATGTCTGTTTTTCTAGACATTTTGAGCTTTAAAACCACCTGTAATTGACTAAATATAACAGATGTTTAATGTCATACTGTGGAACATTTCCAGACAGAGAAATGACATGTCCATAGAAAGTAGAGACAGACCCCCAACCAAAAAGTGACATAGTGCACCTTTAAGAATCAAAGTGTTAGTTTCAATAAATAATACAATTTTCATGCTGAGACTAAATTTTGTGCTCTAAATGTGTTATTTGTTAGCAATTAACACCCACTAGGGAAAAAAATACCTCCTTTTTAAGGAAGTGGGATAGAAAGATAACATTGGATTTACATGACCAGTAGTTTAGAGAATGTGTTAGAGCAGACCGCAGCATTATAAAAGTCTCTGCAAATAAAAGAAAACAACTATGAGGCGCTGTGTGGCTGTTCTCCTGTTTCTCGGTGAGTTACACTGACTATACTGACCTATACCTTTGAACTTTTATCTTTGCAAAACTGTATTCAGAAAAATGATCAAATTTACCTTTAGATTAGCAGCTTTTTACTGTAACTTTGTGAAACGGGGGAGGTGCACACAGGCTGTCTTTGTTTTTCTGTTTATTGTTGCAGATGTGATTGTACTAACATTTTATAACAGTTAGAGGCTCCATACAATTCCTGTCTAAATCTATTAAAACAAACTATAAATATTTTACATGTATTTTTATGTCATCAATCCTATATAATTTAGACTAAATAAATAAAGTAAATGTGACATATGTTTGTGTTATTTGAATCACATAAAAAAATGCCTATATTTTCTGAGCAGTGCTGTACGAACTGTCTGGGTTCATCAGAGCACAGAGAGTTTATAAAGGTGGCTGAAAGGTTTATTGCGTAGTGATATCATGTACGTGTGCATCACGAGTGTGACCAGAGTTGACTCCAGACAATACCAGTGTGTTCTGACAAGATACTACATAATAAAAATATGGAATCCAGACATTTAGGATTGACCTCACAAAAAGTGTGACATTGTCAGTTATTTAAGATGCAGCTTTAAATCCAACTTATACTCTTAAACCAGAACCTAATGTCACTGTGAAACCCACCACTGATATGGACCTGACTGTACAAACAGATGACGTCTTAACACTGAAGACACATACATGTATTTCTACCAATATTTATAAAGTTAATGTGCTGTTCTGTTGTTTACTGTCGTCACTACTTTTCTGTCCAGAGGGTAGTTTTTATTGTTTAACCAATTCCTGCTATTTAGTCGTGACGTATGCGCTGCTAATGGGGCTCGTTGACAAAACAGAATATATGGCTTTTTGCTGAGAAATGAAATTGAGCGGAGGCACTAGGTGGTGCCAGCCTGGCTAAGTCTTGATGCCTTCAGTGAGAGTATATACAGTCGTCCCTCACTATATCGCGGTTCACCTTTCACGGTCTCACTGTTTCGTGGATTTTTTGTGTGCAAATTTGCATGCTTTTTTTTTTTTTTTTTTTTACAGTGTATGAATGTGTATTGCGTTCCTCCCACTGTGTCCTGATTGGCTAAGGGACTCCTGTTTCCTGTACAGTACAGAATGCATTCAGCCAAATGTAAATAAATGTTTCATCGCTAGTAGTATGATTCTGAAGTGCTGTATGTTTGCAAGTTTTCTCCCCAACAAAACTCACAATGTCGACGAAACTTTCTGCACCGACAAAGGTTCCTGCAGACGCACCCAAAATGCAGAGGAAGATGCAAACCTTTGCACAAAAAGTTGGACTTCTGGACACGCTGAAGGAAGGTAGAAGTTACGCAGCTGTAGCAGAGTTTTGCACCAAGTCAGGTACCGCAAATAGTTGCTGAAATCAGGATTTAAAGCGCAATCCGGCTACGGCCACACTTACCTTTGGGAGGTGTGCAGCTGAGCCGGTCCTTTCTCCTGCAGTCACCTTCGATCCCGTTCCGACAATGAGTCCTGTTTTAGTCCTAGTTCAGTCCTGGTTTAGTCCTCCTCTTCAGTCCTGGAATCAGTCCTAGGTTAGCCCTAGGTTAGTCCTGGTTTAGTCTCGGTTCAGGCAAGTACGGGTGGGTGTGGTGCTGTACTGCACGGGTGTGAGTCTCCAAAACCCGTGCATCGGAAAATAACATAAGGACGACAGCAGCAATAAGTTTTAAGTCTAAGAAAATTGTATAAAGTGTGTGGTGAGAGGTTTTACAGCCTTAAAACAGATTAGTAAAAATTGTAAAATATAAAGTTGACTACTTCGCGGATTTCACCTGTCACAGGTTATTTTTAGAACGTAACCCCTGCGATAAACGAGGGACCACTGTAGTGTAAATAACCATGGAAATGAAGACAAACCATAAGTTAAAATGTGTCCTTTGACTGTTAGTGTAGCTGAAACAAAAGTCACTAGCGTCAACATCTTTCTAATAATAATAATCAGAAACAGAAACATAATAATCACCATAATCATAATCATAATTAAGGCAGTTCAAGGCAGACAAAACTCAAATGAAGAAACATGCAGCAGCAACTTCTATGACTCTGACCAAAAGGGAGGTGACACAATTTGTCATCGTTTAGTTTGAGAAGTGGTTACAGCGTAGTTCCTGCTTCATAACAAACCGAGTGCGACAAACTCTACAGACGCAAAAATGAAGCTTTGCCACGTTGCAGTCATTTTATATGGTGAGTACTTGGTGCATTTGGATGGACACTTAAAATAAATATATATGTACTAAATGCATTTGGACCTTTTTAGTGGGAATTCACTTTTCAGTACGTTTGTAAAGAGCATCTAAAAATAGGTTTTTCAAGAAGGAAGGAACAGCAACCACTAATGCGTGATGGACAGAGAGAGAGTTTGTATTTAATATTAAGGTGTTTTTATAATGTGTAATGGGCTACATATTAAATTAATGTTAAGAAATCATGACTAAATTGATCAAATTCAGTAATTATTATGATGGATTCCAATACTATTAATGTTGTATGAATGTCAGAACAGGTGTGCATTGTCCAAAACTCTGCTACAAATTTTACAGCTCTACTTTACATTTATTCAAATACAGGTGGTTTTATTGTTCAAATATACCTAGCGTGGTTGCCTCTGGCATTGTCTGTATTGACCCGCTGCAGGGTGCCCTCGGAAGGATCAGCCAGATGTCTTTGATAAATGTGCTTTATTGATTATCCAGTATTTGGCAGAAAATGGTGTGTGTGTGGTTCTGTGGAAAACAAGGCATAAAAAATTTATTAAATAACTATACAACTATACACAGTGTTGGGAAGGTTACTTTTAAAATGTATTCCTCTACAGATTACAGATTACATCCCAAAATGTAGTTTGTAACAGAATCCATTAAATTACTTAAAGTGAGTAATGTAATCTGAATACTTTGGATTACTTAATTTGCTGTAGAGAAGCAAAGACGAGGAAATCTTCACATAAGATGTTTTATCTGAATAAAACTAAAAGAAAAGAAAATAAAAGGCCCAGACTTTACTAATTACCAGATTAAAAATATTACTGATAGTCCTGTTAAATCCTGTTTTAGATCTGGTTTAGACCTGGTCTTAGACATGGTTTAGACCTGGTTTTAGTCCTGATTTAGACCTGGTTTTAGACCTTGTTTGAGACCTGGTTTAGACCTGGTTTTAGTCCTGATTTAGATCTGGTTTAGACCTGGTTTTAGACCTGGTTAAACCTGGTTTAGACCTGGTTAAACCTGGTTTAGACCTGGTTTTAGACCTGGTTTAAACCTGGTTTAGACCCAGTTTTAGACCTGGTTTAGACCTGGTTTTAGACCTGGTTTGGACCTGGTTTAGACCTGGTTTAGACCTGGGTTTAGATCTGGTTTAGACCTGGTTTAGACCTGGTTTAGACCTGGGTTTAGATCTGGTTTAGAGTCCGGCAATGAGTGGAATTACCGAAAAAATAAATAAATATATATATAGCCCAAAATGTGAAAACAGGAAAATACCGCTGTGTAATCCATTTATTAACTTTAACTGTATTAACTCTTATTAACTCTTAAGTAACCAAATACCACTCACTGAAACAGTAACTGTAACTGAATACAGTTACTCATAATTTGTACTCTGATTACGTAACTCCGGTACATGTAAATCTGTTACTCCCCAACACTGATAATACATAATAATACACATGGATATATTAAACAAACTCTAAACTCTAAATAAATTTAGCCGCTCTTCTGACTATGCTGCACCTTTAAGAGGTGCCGCACCCAGAGTCATGCTACCTGTCATGCATGACGCATGCAAATTAGGCCAAAACGGGCTGAAACACAATAAGGAAAAGTTTATAGAACAGCTAAACAAAACAAAGAGAACATCTACTTACGTTTTGTACTACGCACACACTACCAAAGATGAAAGTAACCTCGAACTGGATCTAAAAAACACAACAACAAGAGCACTCTCCTCACAGTCTCTCTGCTCACAGTTCCGAAAACACTGAACCCCAATACCTGGCCCCAGCCCTGCAAGATGCAGCCCTTGGTCTGGTTTAGTCTCCACGAAAATAGAAATGTTCAGTACCATATTGTGAAACATTCCAGACGAAGCAATGACATCTCCATCGGAAAAAGTTACGTAATGCACCTTTAACAGTAGCCCAGATATTTTCTTAATATGTGCTTCTTCAAATTCAAGAACAAAGTGCAATTTAGTGTTTCGTTTAATTGTCAGTTTTTTTTAGTTTTTCACTTTATTTCATTATTATTCCACTATGTTTTTCTGGAGGCAGATGTATTGCAGTGCCTGAAATGTTCCGCATTATGGCATTAAACAGAACTATCTAGCATTCATTCAATTTAAAGTGTTTTATTGCTAAATGTTACTCGAAAAACTTGCATTGCTGGGGTCACCTCCCCACAGAATTGACCTGTAACTTGACTTTGTGGTGTCACCTCCTTATCTCCATGGACACAGGCTGGTTTAATGACATACTGTGGAACATCCCAGCAAAGCAATGACTAGCAAGTGGCTGACCCTCCACCAAAAAAAAAAAGTTTCATGATGCACTTTTAAAAGACCTATATTTATATTACAGAATTGACTCTTGTGAGCTTTTAGTCATGAGTTGAGTTTTGTTTCAGTCACTAGCCCCAAATCAACAGCTTTACTTACTTCATTACATTACTTTTTGAATATTTTCATTTTACCTTTAGTGTTGATGAGATTGTCACACAAAGTCTCTCATATATGCTGGTGCACTGAGGAATGAAACGATTTGATGAGGCTAAATCAAAAGCTGTAACTTAAAATGCAAATGCAGGCCTGAAATTACCAAAATGATTTTAGTCAAGTGTGCAGTACCCTGAAGCGCTTCCTGTATTTACTGTACACGACATCACAAAGTGGAACGGAGTGTTTTCCCTTTGTCAGAAGAACTTTGTGTGTTAAACATGTGTGAATGAAACAATACTCCACACGTCCCTCCATGTAATAAAAGACTTTTACTATATTCAGTCCAGTCGGTGTGTCTCGGGTTTGTACCTTACCCACTTTTCCCATTCCCACGTCACATTTTTCAGTAAGGGCAACATTCTGTCTAGATTTAAATTTTAACCCTCGTAGAGCACATGTACTGCTGCTTTTATTTTTTTTACGATCCAGTGAAGCGCTCTACTTCTTTTTCTTTTCTTCATCTGACAACACGTCTTTAATTAAGCGATCTGAGTTACAGTACAATGCATGTCTGTAAGAAAATGGTTTTGAGGAGAGGAGGACCTGTACTGATTCTGAAAATGTATTGAAATGCAAATGTTTTCACAGTTTTGTTCTTTCCTGAATTATGAACTTAATGGGTGTATTTTCTGAACAGTGCTGTATGGACTGACTGGTTTCATTAGAGCAGAGGATGATCGTGAGGTGGCTGAAGAAGGAAACATCACAGTTGCATATCAGTTTTATCGAAATGGACACATGAAGCTCTTCTGTAAAAATAACTGTGACAACGAAGAAAACATTTTGGTTAAAACTTCAGAAAATGAGCAATGTAAAGGAAGATACTGCATTAAATATGAGGACAAAGGTTTATTGAATCATATCATGTACGTGAACATCACCAATGTGACCAGAGCTGACTCCGGACAATACCAGTGTGTTGTGAAAAGATCATTTCCATTGAGAGATGGAATCCAGGAATTTAGAATTGAAGTTACAAAAAGTATGTATCAAATAATCAATTCTAAACATTTTCAAAAGTAACAAAAGCAGTTTTAATATCTAACATTTTCTTTCTAACATTATCATTTATTTCAGATGCAGCTTTAAATCCAACTTATACTCTTAAACCAGAACCTAATGTCACTGTGAAACCCACCACTGATATGGACCTGACTGTACAAACAGGTGACCAGACTTCACTCATGTCTGTGACTACAACACAACATAGTTTATCTCCGAAGCCACAGTTCAATCACTCTTCCGCATCACCTGATCATGAGCAGCAGAGAAAACCATCAGGTACTGTGGAGATGATCAGGTGGAGGCTGTACACTTGTGTTATTGATCTTAGCTCCGTCTGTGGTTCCCTCATATGTGGATCTTTTGTGATCTGACATTACATCACGTGAGTCATGGGGTTTTTTCGAGACACAGGTTTCACAAGAAGAGATGAGACATGAGATTGGGTTCATGAGAAAGAAATAAAGTCAGATTTTGTGAGTGTCAGTCCACAGTGTATTTGCCCTAATCATTTAAATTATTGGCTTTCGGAACTACAGCTTCTCAAGAGATGGAACTTTGTATTTTTTGCTCAAGCCAAATGTGAAATCTTGTGGTACTTTTGCCTTGCAACATCATGTGGCACGAGTCTTTTGTCATATAATCTTGTGGCACGAGTCTTTTGTCATATAATCTTACATCACAGTTCTCCAGTAGAGGTTTTCGGTAAAAAAAAAAAAAAAAGAAAGAAAGAAAATACAGATTTACAAGAAAGTTTTGTTTTTGTTCTAATCACCACCAGAAGATTTTACACTACCTGCTGTTCTGTAGTAGCCAGGCTGGTGCCACCTAGTGCCTCCGCTCAATTTCATTTCTCTCCAACGACTATAGGTGAGGAATCACAATACACTAGACCAGGGGTGTCAAGACCTTTAATTTGACCCTTGGCTGATTTTCTACTAAAATATTTCAACAATATTTTCTATTAAAATATTAGTAATTTTCTGCGGTGCTGAGCATAGCAGCATCTCTGTACGTGGCCCCTCCCACCAGAGCAGCACAAATGAAGACTTGTCTCTTTCCAAACGCTCTTAAAGGACGATCGTTTTGACTGTTGACCGTGACACCCTCATCAGCAAAATGTCCAAAATGAGAAAAGTGGAGCCGAGTGCAGGATTTTCCAAAAAAAACTGACATATTCCTATTTGCCTACAAGTTATTGTTAAAACGTGTTGAAATTGCATTTTTCTTAAAGTTTCAGGTTGATCATAATATTATAATATTTTGTAAACGAAAGAGTTCATCAGTTAAAAAATATTTCTGTCATAGATTTGCGTTTCTCTACACAAATATTTGAACTTATTGTTATTTTTGGGGTTTATATGCCATGAGTTTTCTGATCCGGCCCCTTTGGGATCAAAGTAGGTTGGATACGGCCCCCGGACCAAAATGAGTTTGATGCCCCTGCACTAGATGGTTCGCAAAAACCCCGGAAGTGCAAGTTCAGGCACCAGCCAATCAGCAAAGAGCCATATATTCAGTGTTGTTAGCCATTCCCGAGATTGAGGATTTAAAGCCGGAACAAAGAGAATGTTTGGTGAATTTTATCAAGGGGAAAGACGTTGTTGTCCTTCTTCCTACAAGATTAAGGAAAATCTTAATATACCAGTTAGCCCTGTTAGTGGCAAATTACATACGTCACGAACAAATAGCAGTGATTTTTTAAATGACAAAAAGTTCCCACCTTCCAACGCTGCAAGGTCAGACAGTTTCTACAAAGTGAAACCAGCTGATGAATCAGGCTAGTTCTGTAGTTCTGCACTGTGCTTTTTTTGCTATTTCAATACCATTTTACCGGCTGAACATATTTTTGACTAAATGAAGTGAATTATCAGCATGTTTTCATGGCAAATTCAACCCATGAACCAGTACGTAGAAAATACTCACTCCAAAACCTCCAGCCCGATCAACTCTTCAACGCAACTCCAACTCCCAAATGTGTTTTTTATTTCGTGTTACTTTAGTTTTGTTTTATAAAATACTAAAAACGTTAAAATATTGAAATCTATTGAAAAAAAAAAACTTCAATCTTCTTTGACAGGACTATTACCGCTGTACGTGCGTCTGTCTCTCGTTGCTATACTAACCCTGTTACTAGCTGCTCTGCTGATATTCTACTGTAAGAAGAGATCCAAAGGTGAGATTGAGAAACTAAATTAGAATAATATAATAATAAAACACGGTGAACTGGATGTTACTAAAGCTTTCGATGCTTGTCTTGTTTTCCGCAGCATCTCCTGTGATAACTACGGAATATGGGTCAACTCCTGTGGTAAGTTCAAGCCGCATCAGCCACATTACTGGGTCACAGGTAGAGATCTGGAGTTCTCATGAGCTGTTTTTAAGTTCAATATTGGTAGACAGAGACATGCACGTTCAAGAAAAGTTGCGTGTGCATGCTGGGGCCAAAAACGTTGACAAGAAATTGTGCAAAAGAAAGAGAAAGTGAGAGATCCGCACTGCAGTTCTTTGAAGCCCCCAAATTTTTGTTGTTTGTTTCGGGTCGAGTCCTTCTCTTTCTTCTTTTGCACTATTTTTAAGTTCATCAATCATTGCCAGACTCATTCCGGGCATTTTTTACAGTCAAATCAAGTTCATAACAATTGCTTGCTTACATTAGCACACCTTTAGCTGATGTCTTTTCAGAGGTGATTCCCCGTGCTGACCATAGACGGAGTAATAATGCCAAATCCAGATGCACCTGACTGATTTTGTTTCATATCATACTTTATTTTAACTTCACGATGAAATGTAAAATTAAATGTACTTAAAACTGCTTATGTCAGGTTAGACTTTTTTTTAACTAAAACACAGATAGTTATAGTTACGATTGATAAGCAAAAACATTCACACTCGTTTTCCCATTTTGGAATTTTACTTTCTGGGTGGAAATCATTAGCCAGCTAGTGCCTCCGCTCAATTTCATTTACTCTCCAGCGACTAAGTCAGGAATCAAACTTTACTAGACGGTTCGCAAAAACCTCAGAAGTGCACGTTCGGGCACCAGCCAATCAGCGAAAAGCCATGTATTCAGTGTTGTCAGCGATTCCCGAGACTGAGGATTTAAAGCCGGAACAAAGAGAATGTTTGGTGAATTTCATCAAGGGGAAAGACGTTATTGTCCCTTCTTCCTACGGGATTTGGGAAAAGCTTAATATACCAGTTAGCCCCGTTAGTGGCGCATTACATATGTCACGACCAAATAGCAGCGATTGGTTAAAAGATAAAAAGTACCTGCCTACCGTTGAGCGAACGAATTACTGCGAGGTCAGACGGTTTCTACGAAACTTCATGTTTCTATGGATCTGTCATTCCTCTGCCTGGAATGTTTCACAGTATGGCATTTAACAGCTCTATCTTACATTAATTCAATTACAAGTGTTTCCACAGCTAGAAAAACAGACATTCTGACTGAGCAGGGTCACCTCTCCACAGATCAGACTTGTAACTTGGTCTGGTTTGGTCTGAATGAGGATGAAAGGTTTAATGCCACACTGTGAAACATTCCAGATGAAGCAATAACATCTTACACCAACCATGACTCTCCCTCAGACCCACAGAGTCTATGAGGAGATCCCAGACAACAGAGCTTCTCGTCCAGTGGAAATGTCCACAGTTTATGCTTCAGCCTCCTTCAGTGGACCACCTGAAGACCACACTTCAGATGTCTACAGTCTGGCCACAACCCCAGGAGACCAGCACCAAAGTAAGAAAAATAAGCAGAACTTCACTTTATAGCAAGGTTAATATAATATGCGTAAGATCTGTGTAGTGTGTGATGTGGTTGCTGTAATACTTCCTGTGGATCAATCCTGCCCATCGCCTTCGCCTTTCACTATTTTTCAATTCCGTTGGGAAGGGAAACAGTTTGAACAGAGGTTTGCAGTCACACACATCTGATTCACTTTTGCATCTATGGAGTTCGCAAACAAATTTCTCGAGCCGTTTTCCGCGGTTAGTACATCCAACAACCAGACAATTATGATGTCCGAATCCCAAAACTAAAATATGACAATATCAGAACCAGAAACAAAAGTGATATGGTTCAAAAGACTTGAAAAGTTCAGCTTTGTCAATAGACACATCCCAGTGGGAAAACAAACATGGCGGTTTGATGCTCACTTTTCCGGAAAATCCTTCCCAGTATGTAGTCCGAGTAAGTAAGTAAGTCCGAGATTCTTCATGCGTCTATTGGACTGTTATTTATTTTTTTTGCACTTATACATACAACATATAACAATAAAAAGGGCACACTAGATAAAAAGTAGGTGGAGGAAGAGGCAAAAAAACAAAAGGGCTTATATTATGCTACTTCCTGATCTACGTTATAATGTTCATCAAAAACATATCTGGAGTTGTGTTTTGTTTCATTCTCACATGTTTAACACACAAATCCTGCATATTTAGGCTCAGTTCTTCTCTCAAACAGAAATCGCCCTTTTCCACATTGTGATGTCACGTGGTAAAAAGTGCCCCACTGTGTTTTCAAACTTTATACACGTCATTTGGATCATTTCAGCCCTGGAATTGCCAATCTCTTCTGAACAAAAGGTAAAAAGTAGCTGTTCATGACATCACAACGTGGAACAGAGCATTTTGAGCTTTGACGATAATCAACCAGGGTTACTCAAATATGCGTCAATGCAACAAAACACAACTCCAGTTATGTTTTGGAGGAGGTAACAGCGTTCTAACATGGTTTAAAGCTCACAAGAGTCAATTTTATATAACAGAGTTGAAATGTTTGAAGGCCAGGTCAAAAGGACATAGTTAGAATAAGGCAGATTTCTAGCTGAATGAAGCAAGGGTCGGCCAAGCAGATAGGAAAACCTAGGGAGGACTGACAGACCTTGTTTTGGACTTTTTTTTTTTTTGCTTTTACTAACCCACCATAGTGTCTATGAACAGAAATCTAAAAACTGATCACAGCGGTGAATTAACACCTCGTCAGTTACCCGCGTGAAAAGATTTTCACGTAGAAGCTTGGTCTGACGCTGTGATTAGCGCACTCGCATTTTTCCGTATCATACTCACGCCGGCACATAGTCGAAACTAACATGGATGAAAAAGTAGTACTCAAAAAACAGAAGGAGTTGGTTAAACACATGGAAAAAGAGTTTCCAGGTAGCACGAAATACCTAGAAAAATGGCAGAAAAGTTATGGTTATAAACCTACGCTTGATAAATATTTACTCGAGGAGTTGATAACTCAGCTAATGATTCACAACAAACAGAAGGGTCGCCCAAATAAAAAACCCGGTGATCAGACCCGCCAAGGTAGGGTGTGGTTAGAGGTAGCTAAGAGGCAGTGGGTAAATGCTTGCCCAGTTATAAAACCGGGGGAGGATGAGGAGACCCAGGGAGCCGAGGGAGAGGGGCGACGGACGAAATGACCCACGGAAAACTCCTGAATACCTGTTGCGAGTAGGAGACTTAATGTCTAACAAAGCAACCGCGCATCTCCCGCTATTAAAACATCCAGAGGAAGAGTGGGAGGATTTTTAAAGCACACATGATAGAAATGAACAAGATAACGGATTGGAAACAGATCTCAGAGAAGGAGGAAATCTCAACTCAAACGGGGTGGGCCAGATGCTACTTAAACTTGAGAATTACATTGCATCCTCAAGTCCATATTAAATATGACACTGATGATGTATGACACATTCAGCTAACAGAAATTGAAGAGAGAGCACTAGAAAATATTCCAGAGACCCTGTGGAGCAAGGGCTCATCAGATGTTGGCTTAATGAAGGGTGTTGAACCGGTAGTGATCAAAGGCAAAAATGAACATAGGTCAAAGGTGAAACAATACCCACTAAAAAAAAGATGCTGAAGCAGGGAAGATGCTGAAGCAGCATCCAAAAACCAAGGGCAGTGCCAGACAGAATACACTTGCACTCCTCCAGTTCTTATCAGAAACAGGCAATAAAGTGAGCAAAACTAAATTACAACTGTGGAAATCAGAAGTAAGGTACCTAGGGCATAACTTAACCGCTCAAGGGAGAATTGTTAGTGCTGATAGGAAATTGGCAGTGCAAAAGAGTCCGAAACCGCTAACATAAAAGCACATGATGGCCTTTCTAGGGTTGTGTAATTACTGCAGAGCTTGGATACTGTATTAGTCAATCCTAGCTAGGCCACTTCAAGATCAAATTTTTTCTGAACCAATGGAAATGAATCAGAAATTAAACTGGACGGAGGAGGCAAATTTGGCTTTTGATAAAATAAAAAGCGAGTTAATAAAATCAACTGTATTGGCATTACCAGATTAAACTAAGCCTTTTGTTCAAACAGTAGACGTTAAAGAGGGCTTCATGACGTCCGTGTTGTTACAGGGGCACGGAGGGAGATATAGGCCAGTAGCCTATTATTCTCAGCAGTTAGACCCAGTAGCGAGAGCGATGCCCCACTGTGTACAGGCAGTCTTGGCGGCCGCTCTTGCAGTAACAGCCTCTGCAGAAGTAGTGCTGTTCCATCCACTAACCCTGAAAGTTTCACATGCAGTGGCAGCACTCCTCTTGCAGACGAAAATGGCATTTTTGTCGCCAGCAAGACATTTAACATGTATGACAATATTATTGTCTCAACCGCATCTAAACATAGAGAGATGTACTGCACTGAACCCAGCCACCTTACTCCCAATTGAAACAGACGGTGAACCGCATGATTGTGTAATCGCATATGAGACTATCTACAAACCCAGACCAGATATACAGGAAATTCCTCTCACTGAAGGAAACATAATATTTGTAGATGGGTCAGCTAGAAAGAGCGAGTTGGGAAAAAATTTGGTATCTTATGCTATTACTACAGACAAGGAGTTGTTAAAATCTGAAAAACTACCTTCAAATTTGTCAGCACAGGCAGCAGAACTAATAGCCTTAACGGAAGCGTGTAAATTGTTTTTAAAGGCCAGCCTGTCACAATTTACAGTCAGTCAATATGCTTTCAGTGCAGCAGTACATATCTTTTGCCGGCAGTGGCAGCAAAGAGGGTTTAAAACAACCACAGGAAAGGAGGTTACTCACAAGCAACTTCTTCAAAATCTTTTAGATGCAGTTCAGTTACCAAAGAAATTGGCAATATGCAAATGTGAGGCGCATACGAAAGGCACAGATTTTGTATCAAACGGGAACAGATTTGCAGATATGAAAGCAAAAGAGAAAGCGTGTGGAATATACGCTCAAGAAACAGTAACTGAGGCTACAAAAAGAGCAAGCGCATGCATCTGAAAAGGCTACTTGGGTGAAAAGGAGAGCCGTCCTGAAAGATCAGATTTATGTGGGGCAAAATGGGAAGCCGTTTTTGCCAAAATCAATGTTCCGATGGGGAGCTTTAATGAGTCATGGAGTGTGTCATGTCTCAACAGGAGGGATGGTGGCACTGGTAGAACAATATTTCAATACCTACTCAAAATATTTTTTGTAGACAATGTTTAATCTGTGTGAAAAAGAATGCACAGGGCCAATTGAGGCCAAAAAGAGGGCAATTTCCCACACCCAGGTACCCATTTCAGGCCATACACAGGGATTATATCCAATTGAATAAAGTACAAGGCATGGAATACTGTTTAGTACTCATAGATGTATTTTCTAGATGGGTTGAAATGTTTCCTACAGCTTCATCTGATTCACTCACCGTAGCAAAAGCCCTATGTAAACATATTATTCCTACTTTTGGTATTCCAGAAACCATGAGAAGTGATAATGGGCCACATTTCGTAAATCAAGTAATAGATAGATTGGGAGAACACTTTAAAATAGATTTAAAGAGACACTGTACCTACAACCCCCAGCCGGACTAGTTGAAAGAACAAGTGGAACAATTAAAAATAAATTGAGCAAGGCTATGGCAGAAAAAGGAAGGCCATGGACTCAGTGTATTGACCTAGTAAAGCTGAATATGCACATTGTACCAGCTGAAGGAAGAACATTGACAGCTTTTGAGATTTTGTATGGACGGCCATACCGAATACCTGACCTGGACATTAACGCAAGAGATGCACCTGACTCTGTACCTGATCTAGCCCAGTACATGAAGGAGACATTAATGGCTAGAGACTGCTCAGAAAACAATAATCTGATGGATCTTCCGCTTTCTTCACAGCAGCATCGCCCTGTCCACGTGGGTATTCATCAAGGTGATCAAGCAGAAGCATTGGGCCAGTGACCGATACGAGGGACCACACCGCGTGTTGCTGACCACTCCCACCACTGTTAAGGTCGAGGGGAGGAACGGGTGGATCCATCTGAGTCACTCCAAGTCCCGGGAGCTCGACGAGTAAGAGAGACGCAGGACTTCGTGTGCAGAACAGTGTTCCTACAAGGGAGTACGTGCTTGTAACCTCTGCTCTCTGGGCACTGCAACATGGCAAGCCACCTGGTCACATGGTGGGCATTCATCGTCATCAGCCTGGGGTCCAGGGGAAGCCTCGAACTCCAGCCTGCGGAGCAGCAGCCGTCGGAAATCATATCCTTCATGCTTGATGCGTCATCCTTCATTTTTTTAGCTAGTTTGAATCTGGACAACAATCCAGAAGAAAATTCTGTTTAGAATATGCGAAATGATGAGACTATAGAAAATCTGCTTAGAAGTTATAGTACTCTGAGGTAAAGCATTATTGATAAACAGGAGGGAAATGTGAAAGAATTTCTGTGTTATTTTAAATATTATGAATCATTTAAAATCATAATAATTTGTGTGTGTGATTAAAGTTATCAACAATTGCGTTTTTGGGTTTTTCCATTCTGAAAAAAAAGCAACATTGGCTTTTTGTTTTGTCTTGTTTGTTGTGTTCAAGCTGTATCAGGTGATCTTGCTGATGTGTCGGCTGACTCATTAAGATAATGTACCGGGACAAACAACGTAATGGTAAACATCATGAGTTTAACATAATGTACTGTATTGTTATCTGTGAAATGACTTCAAGAAAAACCTGCTGTTGGGGAAGAGCTGTCAGAGTAGGGGCAGACAGTGTTACGGACAGCTCTCTCTCCTTGCGCAAGTATAACCGTCTCGTTTGGTGTGTCTTTATTTAATGTAAATTGATGTCTTAGGGTAAAATTCCCTGACAGTGCGCCTTCCGCACACAGCTCAGTCTTTGTCAACGTGTATGCACAGAGCGCGCAAAAACTGAGGATCGTTGCAGCTGCACAGCAGTGTAGATCAGGTATCCAAGCTCTTTGAGTTGTACCGCATATACCTCCTCCCCTGCCCCACCAGCAGGTAACACAAGAATCGCATTTGGTACCGGTCTTGTCTCCGTCTTGAAGGCACTTAGAGGTGCCCCCAGCACGCAGCTTGTCAGCAACTGCGTGTGCCCTTGTGTACCCGTGTGCATCACAGGACAGGTTAAACTNTATCAACAATTGGTTTTTGGGTTTTTCATTCTGAAAAAAAAGCAACATTGGCTTTTTGTTTTGTCTTGTTTTTGTCAAGCTGTATCAGGTGATCTTGCTGATGTGTCGGCTGACTCATTAAGATAATGTACCGGGAACAAACAACGTAATGGTAAACATCATGAGTTTAACATAATGTACTGTATTGTTATCTGTGAAATGATTTCAAGAAAACCTGCTGTTGGGAAGAGCTGTCAGAGTAGGGGCAGACAGTGTTACGGACAGCTCTCTCTCCTTGCGCAAGTATAAACCGTCTCGTTTTGGTGTGTCTTTATTTAATGTAATTTGATGTCTTAGGGTAAAATTCCCTGACAGTGCGCCTTCCGCACACAGCTCAGTCTTTGTCAACGTGTACGCACAGAGCGCGCAAAAACTGAGGGTCGTTGCAGCTGCACAGCAGTGTAGATCAGGTATCCAAGCTCTTTGAGTGTGGTACCGCATATACCTCCTCCCCTGCCCCACCAGCAGGTAACACAAGAATCGCATTTGGTACCGGTCTTGTCTCCGTCTTGAAGGCACTTAGACACGCCCCCAGCATGCAGCTTGTCAGCAACTGCGTGTGCCCTTGTGTACCCGTGTGCATCACAGGACAGGTTAAACTTTTTAAAACATCCTACCTGTCCATCTGCCTCACGTCAGCTCGCTGCTCCTCGTTTTTTTTGTCGCTCCTCCCTGCGTACAGCACACACAGGATCCCTCCTCAATACCCTGATTAAAAGAACAAGACGAAACACCAAGAAAAAATTCATCTAAATTTATGCCTAACCAGTATATATTTGTCTCTGTTGTGAAAATAGTCTGTCTCATACAGCAGCAAACAGCTGAGGATAAATCAGCCGACTGCTCACCTGCTCAGCGACTGTAGCAACTCCCCCAGATCAATAATAGATGATGTGATGACCACCACACAACTAATGTCGCTAGAGTTTGTGAATCTATCAGTATACTTAAGCTGAACATTTACTATTGTGTAGGTTTACATTAGGCTACATAATTAACACATTTACTTCCTACATAACAAACAGGCAGTTTCCATTTACCAGCAGAGAAATACTCTTCTTTCTTGTTGTAATGTCACCAGCAGTCTTATTCATACTTTTGGTAATAAATCAGGCATTAAGCTATAATAGCTATTATTTTGTACCAACCATAGTTATTTCTATGCTACAAGACTTGCAGTAATCTTGTATTATTACCTTAATCTGTAATAAGGCTGCTGGAAGTTCCATATACACACAAAGTGCCCTTATTTTTCACTGAGCCCCTGTCCCCTAAAATGTCTGTGCACACCACTGAAGAAATGTATTTGCTCATTTGAAATATGAATTGATCAATCCACAATCTGTTCACTGTCCATGTTTGTATTTGCAGATAAAGGAGCAAAGGATGAGGTGAGGTTTACATATTTACACTGGATCTGATTAAGATGTCAAAGGCTGAGAATGAAAATGAACTGATAATTGTGTCACGTTTTGTATTATTACAGTCAAAACCTCTTATATTTGTGAATAAAAATCACATGAACCATTTTACACTAAACATGAAAACCAGTGTTGAGTAGACGTAAAGGCTTTGAGCACTTCACATATCACTTTTTATTCTCATGTGTCTCTTGTATTTTTAGGTTGTAATGTACGAGAACTGTCCAGCTCCCCCTTCAGAGCCTGAAGACTCCACTTAACAGAGTCTCAGTGCAGACACACGAGACCACACCCACATCTACAGCTCCCTCAACCCACAGCCCCCACCCAGCAGCAACACCGCCCCCTGATGATCAAAGCCTCTGACTACACCCAATCATGTCAAAAGTGATGCTGAATATGTCATGAATATTTTTACATGTACATATATTTACATTTTACATAATCGACTTTACACAATTACAAAATACAATTCCAGGTATGTTTTGTCGAGGAGACAACAGAATACAATTTTTTTTTAATCTTTTAAAATGTTGTTGTATTTTATAATGTTTGTCATTTCATTGTAAATCTGTACATTTTTCAAGACCTACTGAAACATTAGCATTTCATTAAACATTATTTGATTCTGACTCTGAATGAGAAAGTCCTGAAAAAGTCCCAATCCCGAAGACCCAATCGCCCGTTTAGCCAAAGCACCCACCCATAACCCACTCACCCTGGTCCTACATAGATGAATTATTATATACGGAATACACTAGGGCTGCAAATGAGTCATAATTAAAACAAAATTACAGTTTGGGTTGCTTCATCATCAACTTGGTCAAGACTCCAACTGTACAGCGAAATAACTGAGTGCAAAAGATTGAAGAAAAAAGTCTCCATGAAGATGTTATTGTTTTGTCTTAAATGTTTCACAGTATGGCATTAAACCTTAACCAAACCAGACCAAGTTACAGTCACAGTCAGAATGTCTGTTTTTCTAGACATTTTGAGCTTTAAAACCACCTGTAATTGACTAAATATAACAGATGTTTAATGTCATACTGTGGAACATTTCCAGACAGAGAAATGACATGTCCATAGAAAGTAGAGACAGACCCCCAACCAAAAAGTGACATAGTGCACCTTTAAGAATCAAAGTGTTAGTTTCAATAAATAATACAATTTTTCATGCTGAGACTAAATTTTGTGCTCTAAATGTGTTATTTGTTAGCAATTAACACCCACTAGGGAAAAAAATACCTCCTTTTTAAGGAAGTGGGATAGAAAGATAACATTGGATTTACATGAGAGAATGTGTTAGAGCAGACCGCAGCATTATAAAAGTCTCTGCAAATAAAAGAAAACAACTATGAGGCGCTGTGTGGCTGTTCTCCTGTTTCTCGGTGAGTTACACTGACTATACTGACCTATACCTTTGAACTTTTATCTTTGCAAAACTGTATTCAGAAAAATGATCAAATTTACCTTTAGATTAGCAGCTTTTTACTGTAACTTTGTGAAACGGGGGAGGTGCACACAGGCTGTCTTTGTTTTTCTGTTTATTGTTGCAGATGTGATTGTACTAACATTTTATAACAGTTAGAGGCTCCATACAATTCCTGTCTAAATCTATTAAAACAAACTATAAATATTTTACATGTATTTTTATGTCATCAATCCTATATAATTTAGACTAAATAAATAAAGTAAATGTGACATATGTTTGTGTTATTTGAATCACATAAAAAAATGCCTATATTTTCTGAGCAGTGCTGTACGAACTGTCTGGGTTCATCAGAGCACAGAGAGTTTATAAAGGTGGCTGAAAGGTTTATTGCGTAGTGATATCATGTACGTGTGCATCACGAGTGTGACCAGAGTTGACTCCAGACAATACCAGTGTGTTCTGACAAGATACTACATAATAAAATATGGAATCCAGACATTTAGGATTGACCTCACAAAAAGTGTGACATTGTCAGTTATTTAAGATGCAGCTTTAAATCCAACTTATACTCTTAAACCAGAACCTAATGTCACTGTGAAACCCACCACTGATATGGACCTGACTGTACAAACAGATGACGTCTTAACACTGAAGACACATACATGTATTTCTACCAATATTTATAAAGTTAATGTGCTGTTCTGTTGTTTACTGTCGTCACTACTTTTCTGTCCAGAGGGTAGTTTTTATTGTTTAACCAATTCCTGCTATTTAGTCGTGACGTATGCGCTGCTAATGGGGCTCGTTGACAAAACAGAATATATGGCTTTTTGCTGAGAAATGAAATTGAGCGGAGGCACTAGGTGGTGCCAGCCTGGCTAAGTCTTGATGCCTTCAGTGAGAGTATATACAGTCGTCCCTCGCTATATCGCGGTTCACCTTTCACGGTCTCACTGTTTCGTGGATTTTTTGTGTGCAAATTTGCATGCTTTTTTTTTATTTTTTTTTTTTATAGTGTATGAATGTGTATTGCGTTCCTCCCACTGTGTCCTGATTGGCTAAGGGACTCCTGTTTCCTGTACAGTACAGAATGCATTCAGCCAAATGTAAATAAATGTTTCATCGCTAGTAGTATGATTCTGAAGTGCTGTATGTTTGCAAGTTTTCTCCCCAACAAAACTCACAATGTCGACGAAACTTTCTGCACCGACAAAGGTTCCTGCAGACGCACCCAAAATGCAGAGGAAGATGCAAACCTTTGCACAAAAAGTTGGACTTCTGGACACGCTGAAGGAAGGTAGAAGTTACGCAGCTGTAGCAGAGTTTTGCACCAAGTCAGGTACCGCAAATAGTTGCTGAAATCAGGATTTAAAGCGCAATCCGGCTACGGCCACACTTACCTTTGGGAGGTGTGCAGCTGAGCCGGTCCTTTCTCCTGCAGTCACCTTCGATCCCGTTCCGACAATGAGTCCTGTTTTAGTCCTAGTTCAGTCCTGGTTTAGTCCTCCTCTTCAGTCCTGGAATCAGTCCTAGGTTAGCCCTAGGTTAGTCCTGGTTTAGTCTCGGTTCAGGCAAGTACGGGTGGGTGTGGTGCTGTACTGCACGGGTGTGAGTCTCCAAAAACCCGTGCATCGGAAAATAACATAAGGACGACAGCAGCAATAAGTTTTAAGTCTAAGAAAATTGTATAAAGTGTGTGGTGAGAGGTTTTACAGCCTTAAAACAGATTAGTAAAAATTGTAAAATATAAAGTTGACTACTTCGCGGATTTCACCTGTCACAGGTTATTTTTAGAACGTAACCCCTGCGATAAACGAGGGACCACTGTAGTGTAAATAACCATGGAAATGAAGACAAACCATAAGTTAAAATGTGTCCTTTGACTGTTAGTGTAGCTGAAACAAAAGTCACTAGCGTCAACATCTTTCTAATAATAATAATCAGAAACAGAAACATAATAATCACCATAATCATAATCATAATTAAGGCAGTTCAAGGCAGACAAAACTCAAATGAAGAAACATGCAGCAGCAACTTCTATGACTCTGACCAAAAGGGAGGTGACACAATTTGTCATCGTTTAGTTTGAGAAGTGGTTACAGCGTAGTTCCTGCTTCATAACAAACCGAGTGCGACAAACTCTACAGACGCAAAAATGAAGCTTTGCCACGTTGCAGTCATTTTATATGGTGAGTACTTGGTGCATTTGGATGGACACTTAAAATAAATATATATGTACTAAATGCATTTGGACCTTTTTAGTGGGAATTCACTTTTCAGTACGTTTGTAAAGAGCATCTAAAAATAGGTTTTTCAAGAAGGAAGGAACAGCAACCACTAATGCGTGATGGACAGAGAGAGAGTTTGTATTTAATATTAAGGTGTTTTATAATGTGTAATGGGCTACATATTAAATTAATGTTAAGAAATCATGACTAAATTGATCAAATTCAGTAATTATTATGATGGATTCCAATACTATTAATGTTGTATGAATGTCAGAACAGGTGTGCATTGTCCAAAACTCTGCTACAAATTTTACAGCTCTACTTTACATTTATTCAAATACAGGTGGTTTTATTGTTCAAATATACCTAGCGTGGTTGCCTCTGGCATTGTCTGTATTGACCCGCTGCAGGGTGCCCTCGGAAGGATCAGCCAGATGTCTTTGATAAATGTGCTTTATTGATTATCCAGTATTTGGCAGAAAATGGTGTGTGTGTGGTTCTGTGGAAAACAAGGCATAAAAAATTTATTAAATAACTATACAACTATACACAGTGTTGGGAAGGTTACTTTTAAAATGTATTCCCCTACAGATTACAGATTACATATCCCAAAATGTAGTTTGTAACAGAATCCATTAAATTACTTAAAGTGAGTAATGTAATCTGAATACTTTGGATTACTTAATTTGCTGTAGAGAAGCAAAGACGAGGAAATCTTCACATAAGATGTTTTATCTGAATAAAACTAAAAGAAAAGAAAATAAAAGGCCCAGACTTTCCTAATTACCAGATTAAAAATATTACTGATAGAAGAGGAAGAGACATGATCCACGTGGCATGGTTTAGTCCTGTTAAATCCTGTTTTAGATCTGGTTTAGACCTGGTCTTAGACATGGTTTAGACCTGGTTTTAGTCCTGATTTAGACCTGGTTTTAGACCTTGTTTGAGACCTGGTTTAGACCTGGTTTTTAGTCCTGATTTAGATCTGGTTTAGACCTGGTTTTAGACCTGGTTAAACCTGGTTTAGACCTGGTTAAACCTGGTTTAGACCTGGTTTTAGACCTGGTTTAAACCTGGTTTAGACCCAGTTTTAGACCTGGTTTAGACCTGGTTTAGATCTGGTTTAGACCTGGTTTAGACCTGGTTTAGACCTGGGTTTAGATCTGGTTTAGACCTGGTTTAGACCTGGTTTAGACCTGGGTTTAGATCTGGTTTAGAGTCCGGCAATGAGTGGAATTACCGAAAAAATAAATAAATATATATATAGCCCAAAATGTGAAAACAGGAAAATACCGCTGTGTAATCCATTTATTAACTTTAACTGTATTAACTCTTATTAACTCTTAAGTAACTGTAATCCAAATACCACTCACTGAAACAGTAACTGTAACTGAATACAGTTACTCATAATTTGTACTCTGATTACGTAACTCCGGTACATGTAATCTGTTACTCCCCAACACTGATAATACATAATAATACACATGGATATATTAAACAAACTCTAAACTCTAAATAAATTTAGCCGCTCTTCTGACTATGCTGCACCTTTAAGAGGTGCCGCACCCAGAGTCATGCTACCTGTCATGCATGACGCATGCAAATTAGGCCAAAACGGGCTGAAACACAATAAGGAAAAGTTTTATAGAACAGCTAAACAAAACAAAGAGAACATCTACTTACGTTTTGTACTACGCACACACTACCAAAGATGAAAGTAACCTCGAACTGGATCTAAAAAACACAACAACAAGAGCACTCTCCTCACAGTCTCTCTGCTCACAGTTCCGAAAACACTGAACCCCAATACCTGGCCCCAGCCCTGCAAGATGCAGCCCTTGGTCTAGTTTAGTCTCCCACGAAAATAGAAATGTTCAGTACCATATTGTGAAACATTCCAGACGAAGCAATGACATCTCCATCGGAAAAAGTTACGTAATGCACCTTTAACAGTAGCCCAGATATTTTCTTAATATGTGCTTCTTCAAATTCAAGAACAAAGTGCAATTTAGTGTTTCGTTTAATTGTCAGGTTTTTTTTAGTTTTTCACTTTATTTCATTATTATTCCACTATGTTTTTCTGGAGGCAGATGTATTGCAGTGCCTGAAATGTTCCGCATTATGGCATTAAACAGAACTATCTAGCATTCATTCAATTTAAAGTGTTTTATTGCTAAATGTTACTCGAAAAACTTGCATTGCTGGGGTCACCTCCCCACAGAATTGACCTGTAACTTGACTTTGTGGTGTCACCTCCTTATCTCCATGGACACAGGCTGGTTTAATGACATACTGTGGAACATCCCAGCAAAGCAATGACTAGCAAGTGGCTGACCCTCCACCAAAAAAAAAAAGTTTCATGATGCACTTTTAAAAGACCTATATTTATATTACAGAATTGACTCTTGTGAGCTTTTAGTCATGAGTTGAGTTTTGTTTCAGTCACTAGCCCCAAATCAACAGCTTTACTTACTTCATTACTTTTTGAATATTTTCATTTTACCTTTAGTGTTGATGAGATTGTCACACAAAGTCTCTCATATATGCTGGTGCACTGAGGAATGAAACGATTTGATGAGGCTAAATCAAAAGCTGTAACTTAAAATGCAAATGCAGGCCTGAAATTACCAAAATGATTTTAGTCAAGTGTGCAGTACCCTGAAGCGCTTCCTGTATTTACTGTACACGACATCACAAAGTGGAACGGAGTGTTTTCCCTTTGTCAGAAGAACTTTGTGTGTTAAACATGTGTGAATGAAACAATACTCCACACGTCCCTCCATGTAATAAAAGACTTTTACTATATTCAGTCCAGTCGGTGTGTCTCGGGTTTGTACCTTACCCACTTTTCCCATTCCCACGTCACATTTTTCAGTAAGGGCAACATTCTGTCTAGATTTAAATTTTAACCCTCGTAGAGCACATGTACTGCTGCTTTTTATTTTTTTACGATCCAGTGAAGCGCTCTACTTCTTTTTCTTTTCTTCATCTGACAACACGTCTTTAATTAAGCGATCTGAGTTACAGTACAATGCATGTCTGTAAGAAAATGGTTTTGAGGAGAGGAGGACCTGTACTGATTCTGAAAATGTATTGAAATGCAAAATGTTTTCACAGTTTTGTTCTTTCCTGAATTATGAACTTAATGGGTGTATTTTCTGAACAGTGCTGTATGGACTGACCTGGTTTCATTAGAGCAGAGGATGATCGTGAGGTGGCTGAAGAAAGGAAACATCACAGTTGCATATCAGTTTTATCGAAATGGACACATGAAGCTCTTCTGTAAAAATAACTGTGACAACGAAGAAAACATTTTGGTTAAAACTTCAGAAAATGAGCAATGTAAAGGAAGATACTGCATTAAATATGAGGACAAAGGTTTATTGAATCATATCATGTACGTGAACATCACCAATGTGACCAGAGCTGACTCCGGACAATACCAGTGTGTTGTGAAAAGATCATTTCCATTGAGAGATGGAATCCAGGAATTTAGAATTGAAGTTACAAAAAGTATGTATCTTATAATCAATTCTAAACATTTTCAAAAGTAACAAAAGCAGTTTTAATATCTAACATTTTCTTTCTAACATTATCATTTATTTCAGATGCAGCTTTAAATCCAACTTATACTCTTAAACCAGAACCTAATGTCACTGTGAAACCCACCACTGATATGGACCTGACTGTACAAACAGGTGACCAGACTTCACGCATGTCTGTGACTACAACACAACATAGTTTATCTCCGAAGCCACAGTTCAATCACTCTTCTGCATCACCTGATCATGAGCAGCAGACAAAACCATCAGGTACTGTGGAGATGATCAGGTGGAGGCTGTACACTTGTGTTATTGATCTTAGCTCCGTCTGTGGTTCCCTCATATGTGGATCTTTTGTGATCTGACATTACATCACGTGAGTCATGGGGTTTTTCGAGACACAGGTTTCACAAGAAGAGATGAGACATGAGATTGGGTTCACGAGAAAGAGATAAAGTCAGATTTTGTGAGTGTCAGTCCACAGTGTATTTGCCCTAATCATTTTAATTATTGGCTTTCGGAACTACAGCTTCTCAAGAGATGGAACTTTGTATTTTTTGCTCAAGCCAAATGTGAAATCTTGTGGTACTTTTGCCTTGCGAGATCATGTGGCACGAGTCTTTTGTCATATAATCTTGTGGCACGAGTCTTTTGTCATATAATCTTACATCACTGTTCTCCAGTAGAGGTTTCGGTAAAAAAAAAAAAAAAAAAGAAAGAAAGAAAATACAGCTTTACAAGAAAGTTTTTGTTTTTGTTCTAATCACCACCAGAAGATTTTACACTACCTGCTGTTCTGTAGTAGCCAGGCTGGTGCCACCTAGTGCCTCCGCTCAATTTCATTTCTCTCCAACGACTATAGGTCAGGAATCAGAATACACTAGACCAGGGGTGTCAAAACCTTTAATCTGGCCCTTGGCTGATTTTCTACTAAAATATTTCAACTATATTTTCTATTAAAATATTAGTAATTTTCTGCGGTGCTGAGCATAGCAGCATCTCTGTACGTGGCCCCTCCCACCAGAGCAGCACAAATGAAGACTTGTCTCTTTCCAAACGCTCTTAAAGGACGATCGTTTTGACTGTTGACCGTGACACCCTCATCAGCAAAATGTCCAAAATGAGAAAAGTGGAGCCGAGTGCAGGATTTTCCAAAAAAAATTTACATATTCCTATTTGCATACAAGTTATTGTTTAAACAGTGTGTTGAAATTGCATTTTTCTTAAAGTTTCAGGTTGATCATAATATTATAATATTTTGTAAACGAAAGAGTTCATAAGTTAAAAAATATTTCTGTCATAGATTTGCGTTTCTCTACACAAATATTTGAACTTATTGTTATTTTTGAGTTTATATGCCATGAGTTTTCTGATCCGGCCCCTTTTGGGATCAAAGTAGGTTGGATACGGCCCCCCGGACCAAAATGAGTTTGATGCCCCCTGCACTAGATGGTTCGCAAAAACCCCGGAAGTGCAAGTTCAGGCACCAGCCAATCAGCAAAGAGCCATATATTCAGTGTTGTTAGCCATTCCCGAGATTGAGGATTTAAAGCCGGAACAAAGAGAATGTTTGGTGAATTTTATCAAGGGGAAAGACGTTGTTGTCCTTCTTCCTACAAGATTAAGGAAAATCTTAATATACCAGTTAGCCCTGTTAGTGGCAAATTACATACGTCACGAACAAATAGCAGTGATTTTTTAAATGACAAAAAGTTCCCACCTTCCAACGCTGCAAGGTCAGACAGTTTCTACAAAGTGAAACCAGCTGATGAATCAGGCTAGTTCTGTAGTTCTGCACTGTGCTTTTTTTGCTATTTCAATACCATTTTACCGGCTGAACATATTTTTGACTAAATGAAGTGAATTATCAGCACGTTTTCATGGCAAATTCAACCCATGAACCAGTACGTAGAAAATACTCACTCCAAAACCTCCAGCCCGATCAACTCTTCAACGCAACTCCAACTCCCAAATGTGTTTTTTATTTCGTGTTACTTTAGTTTTGTTTTATAAAATACTAAAAACGTTAAAATATTGAAATCTATTGAAAAAAAAAAACTTCAATCTTCTTTGACAGGACTATTACCGCTGTACGTGCGTCTGTCTCTCGTTGCTATACTAACCCTGTTACTAGCTGCTCTGCTGATATTCTACTGTAAGAAGAGATCCAAAGGTGAGATTGAGAAACTAAATTAGAATAATATAATAATAAAACACGGTGAACTGGATGTTACTAAAGCTTTCGATGCTTGTCTTGTTTTCCGCAGCATCTCCTGTGATAACTACGGAATATGGGTCAACTCCTGTGGTAAGTTCAAGCCGCATCAGCCACATTACTGGGTCACAGGTAGAGATCTGGAGTTCTCATGAGCTGTTTTTAAGTTCAATATTGGTAGACAGAGACATGCACGTTCAAGAAAAGTTGCGTGTGCATGCTGGGGCCAAAAACGTTGACAAGAAATTGTGCAAAAGAAAGAGAAAGTGAGAGATCCGCACTGCAGTTCTTTGAAGCTCCCAAATTTTTGTTGTTTGTTTCGGGTCGAGTCCTTCTCTTTCTTCTTTTGCACTATTTTTAAGTTCATCAATCATTGCCAGACTCATTCTGGGCATTGTTACAGTCAAATCAAGTTCATAACAATTGCTTGCTTACATTAGCACACCTTTAGCTGATGTCTTTTCAGAGGTGATTCCCCGTGCTGACCATAGACGGAGTAATAATGCCAAATCCAGATGCACCTGACTGATTTTGTTTCATATCATACTTTATTTTAACTTCACGATGAAATGTAAAATTAAATGTACTTAAAACTGCTTATGTCAGGTTAGACTTTTTTTAAACTAAAACACAGATAGTTATAGTTACGATTGATAAGCAAAAACATTCACACTCGTTTTCCCATTTTGGAATTTTACTTTCTGGGTGGAAATCATTAGCCAGGCTGGTACCACCTAGTGCCTCCGCTCAATTTCATTTACTCTCCAGCGACTAAGTCAGGAATCAAACTTTACTAGACGGTTCGCAAAAACCTCAGAAGTGCACGTTCGGGCACCAGCCAATCAGCGAAAAGCCATGTATTCAGTGTTGTCAGCGATTCCCGAGACTGAGGATTTAAAGCCGGAACAAAGAGAATGTTTGGTGAATTTCATCAAGGGGAAAGACGTTATTGTCCTTCTTCCTACGGGATTTGGGAAAAGCTTAATATACCAGTTAGCCCCGTTAGTGACACATTACATATGTCACGACCAAATAGCAGCGATTGGTTAAAAGATAAAAAGTACCTGCCTACCGTTGAGCGAACGAATTACTGCGAGGTCAGACGGTTTCTACGAAACTTCATGTTTCTATGGATCTGTCATTCCTCTGCCTGGAATGTTTCACAGTATGGCATTTAACAGCTCTATCTTACATTAATTCAATTACAAGTGGTTCCACAGCTAGAAAAACAGACATTCTGATTTGACTTGTAACTTGGTCTGGTTTGGTCTGAATGAGGATGAAAGGTTTAATGCCACACTGTGAAACATTCCAGATGAAGCAATAACATCTTACACCAACCATGACTCTCCCTCAGACCCACAGAGTCTATGAGGAGATCCCAGACAACAGAGCTTCTCGTCCAGTGGAAATGTCCACAGTTTATGCTTCAGCCTCCTTCAGTGGACCACCTGAAGACCACACTTCAGATGTCTACAGTCTGGCCACAACCCCAGGAGACCAGCACAAAGTAAGAAAAATAAGCAGAACTTCACTTTATAGCAAGGTTAATATAATATGCGTAAGATCTGTGTAGTGTGTGATGTGGTTGCTGTAATACACACAGAAATATTTTTAACTGATGAACTTTCGTCCTTCCTGTGGATCAATCCTGCCCATCGCCTTCGCCTTTCACTATTTTTCAATTCCGTTTGGGAAGGGAAACAGTTTGAACAGAGGTTTGCAGTCACACACATCTGATTCACTTTTGCATCTATGGAGTTCGCAAACAAATTTCTCGAGCCGTTTTCCGCGGTTAGTACATCCAACAACCAGACAATTACGATGTCCGAATCCCAAAACTAAAATATGACAATATCAGAACCAGAAACAAAAGTGATATGGTTCAAAAGACTTGAAAAGTTCGGCTTTGTCAATATACGCATCCCACTGGGAAAACAAACATGGCGGTTTGATGCTCACTTTTCCGGAAAATCCTTCCCAGTATGTAGTCCGAGTAAGTAAGTAAGTCCGAGATTCTTCATGCGTCTATTGGACTGTTATTTTTTTTTTTTGCACTTATACATACAACATATAACAATAAAAAGGGCACACTAGATAAAAAGTAGGTGGAGGAAGAGGCAAAAAAACAAAAGGGCTTATATTATGCTACTTCCTGATCTACGTTATAATGTTCATCAAAAAACATATCTGGAGTTGTGTTTTGTTTCATTCTCACATGTTTAACACACAAATCCTGCATATTTAGGCTCAGTTCTTCTCTCAAACAGAAATCGCCCTTTTCCACATTGTGATGTCACGTGGTAAAAAGTGCCCCACTGTGTTTTCAAACTTTATACACGTCATTTGGATCATTTCAGCCCTGGAATTGCCAATCTCTTCTGAACAAAAGGTAAAAAGTAGCTGTTCATGACATCACAACGTGGAACAGAGCATTTTGAGCTTTGACGATAATCAACCAGGGTTACTCAAATATGCGTCAATGCAACAAAACACAACTCCAGTTATGTTTTGGAGGAGGTAACAGCGTTCTAACATGGTTTAAAGCTCACAAGAGTCAATTTTATATAACAGAGTTGAAATGTTTGAAGGCCAGGTCAAAAGGACATAGTTAGAATAAGGCAGATTTCTAGCTGAATGAAGCAAGGGTCGGCCAAGCAGATAGGAAAACCTAGGGAGGACTGACAGACCTTGTTTTGGACTTTTTTTTTTTTTGCTTTTACTAACCCACCATAGTGTCTATGAACAGAAATCTA